CGCCGCGGGGAGGTGGGGAAAAGCGGGCGCCCCTCGGCAGCCGCTCAGTTCCAGCCTGAGCGAGAGATGGAGCAGCCCAGGGGGAAGGGACAAACAGGCTTGCCAAAACTCTCCCTTAACCACCAGCTGCTAATTAGGATCCTCTGAAACACCCATCCTAGAAGAGGCAGAGTGAGCTGCAAGCGAGGAGCCCGGCTCACGTGGCTACTTCTCTTAAAACCAGAATGAACCGAAACACACTTGGCCTGCTGGGACCCCCCCCCCTCCACACACACCTGTAGGGGTTCGGGTGGAGGAGCAGCACCCCACAGGACACCCAGCTGGCCAGGAGCGGGAGATGGGTGCACAGCCAGAGCGGGGGGCTCTGGGGCTCCCCCCACCCTGCCTGCACCTCCCCGTCCCTCTGCCCCCCTGCAGCAGAGCTGCCATGGGGCTCTGAGCAGAGCCTGGGAATCGCTGCAAGCTGAAAGTCTGTAAATACGAAACGCATCCGCTTCTGCTCCATTTCCCGCCCCAGGATCCCCCGTGCTGACGAAGGCACCAATAATCCTGCGGAAATCACAGCCGAGCTCCCGCACTCACGACACGGACGCCCAGCAATGAACGCAAGGGAGGATGCCTTCACCATCACCCCATAAAGACGACGGCACCGAATTCGTTCAAACCCCAAATCAGTCGGGGAGGTCACAAGCCATGGCTGGAGAGGAGCTGAAGGCGCGGGATGGGCTGCAGGTTCCGCTTCGCCTCGCAGCCTCAGCTGGCAAACGGCGGAGGGAAGCAACGGGAAAAAGAGAAATATGTTCATATGGAAAAAAATGCTTCATGCATGAGTTTAACCGATTTCTACGGTGCATCAGCAGTCAATACAAAAAAAGACAATTTCTAAAATATAAAACGCTGCTGAGGGGGGCAGAAAGAGCATTCCTATGAACCACACTCAGCTTAGCCTGGTCTTTTTCCCTCACCCACCATGTTCTCAAATGCTCCTCAGGTCTTGCTCCCGCAGAGACTGCTCCCCCTTTCTTTTAAAATTATTATTAATCAAGTATTAACAACAGAATTAACTAAGTGCTTTTAGGAATACGTTATCTCCTATGTAAGAACTTTCTGACAAAGACTGCAGTTACTCACATCCCAGGGTGCAGTAAACATTCCGCCCGCACCTCACTGAGCCCAAACAAGTTTTTCCCTCTTTTTTGTTTTGCTTTGTGGTTTTGTTTTGCTTTTTTTTTTTTTTTTTTTTTTTTAAAAAAAAAAGCTGTCTCCTTCCAAGGAAGCGGAAAGAAGCTTCTTCTATTCAAATCCTCCTAAGCTTACTGCCTGCGGCAAGGCTCTCAGCGGAAGCACCCCAACCCCAGAGCGGAGCTCGCCCACAGCGCGAGCCGAAAGCCCAGGGCTCTGCCGGGAGGCTGCGGGCAGGCAGGGAGGGATGGGCATCCTCTGTGTGCCAGGGGCTCTGTCCTGCAAGGGTGAGGAGGGGCCTTCCTCGGGCTGCTGCAGAGCACCCGCCTCGCTCTGCCCATCAAGAGGAACGTGCGCTAAGTACCGCCGTGCTCACCTGGGGCGCCAGGCCACTGCCAGTGCCTCCGTCCTGCTTCACACCCCGCTTGCAGTGAGCCCACCTCTCTGATTACCCCTCCCTCCCCTGCTCATCAAGAACCCCACCACCCCACAGGCTACTCTGCTCATTTTCAAACCCCGTGGTCAGGCCCGGCTTCACTGGGCACGCCCAGGACTCAAAGAGCTTCTGCCGGACAGAGAGGGCACATGGCACAAAATCCACGGCGCCCACAGCCCGCGTGGACCGAGCACGCAGCCTAGCCTCCACGAACACGACGTGAAACGGAAAAACCAGCCCAGCCCGCACGCCCGCTCCCTTGAGCGATGCCTGCGCCTCCTGATGCCATCCGCGCCCCTCGCAGCGCTCGTGGCAGTCTCGGTGACGCTGGTTCCTTTGCACGCTCGCCAAACCAGCGCTGCACCCCCAGCCGTGACCTCGCACTAGCTCTTTAGCTTTCGAGCAGAGTAAGGTTCCACGGCCAGGGCTGAGAAATGGGCCAGCTCGGGGGATCCTGGATCCTCCGCTTTTATTCTTGATGTCTACACACACCAACACGTGCCAAGAAGTCAGAGGAAAAGCGATGATCCCACGGGTCTGCGGCTAGCAGGGGGGGGGGGCTGGGGGGGGG